CTAGAAGTAGAATATTGACTTGCTTGTTTTATAAAAAAGGCTTTAAAACGATTTTTTAGAACAATTTTTTAGAACACGATTTTTTAGAACGTGATTTTTTAGAACACGATTTTTAGAACGCGAATTTTTAGAAGAAGATTATTTCTAATTAAAATTATTATTTATTATAAAAGTAAAAGAAACAAATGTTAATAACATTTTAAAGTAATATAAAAATATATATTATATATCTTAGAAAAAGTATTTCAAATTAAAAAAGTTATACTTATCCCTTAAAAAAGTATTAACTTCTTAATAAATATTAAATATTAATTTTAATAATATAATATAAATAATATAAATAATTATATGACAACTTAAACTTTCGATGTTGCACGTCATTTAGATCGACATTGCATGTGACACATAAAAATTATAAAAAAAAAAATGAATTTATCTTAAAAATTTATTTTATAAAATGCCACCAACATTGATTTCACCTTCGGAAAATGATTATATTCTTCGAGGAGTTGATGCTAATATTCGTGCGGACGGCAGGGGACGTCTTGATTATCGTCAAGTAATATTGGAAACCGGTCTTATAACGCAGGCTAGTGGAAGTGCTCGTTGTAGGCTGGGAGAAGGAACCGACGTATTAGTTGGTGTTAAAGTTGAGCTCGGTGCAATAGAATTAGATGGTGTCGAAGAAGATGTTGCCGAGATAAAGGCTAAAAGGGGAAGAGTTATCTGTAATGTCGAATGGTAAATTGGATTCATTGTTAGAATTAATTATGTATATTCTTTACTTTATGTTTTATGTTAAGTCTCGCAGTTCTCCAATTGCTTCACAACAATTTGCAGGTCGAGGAGCTGACGATTTCAATATTGAGCTCACCCAGATGTTGGATCGTGTATTGAATGGCCCACAAAGTGGTTTGGATCTTGAAAAACTATGTATCATCCCCGGACAGCAATGTTGGATTGTTTACATTGATGCCATAGTGTGTTATTACATTTTATAATTAATACATATATGATGTTAAATATTTTAATGTATTGAACTTTGTTTTTTCTATTATCTATTGAATTAGGTTTTAGACTATGCTGGGAATTTATTAGATACAATATTTATGACCACACGAGCCGCACTTTATAATACAAAAGTACCAAAAACAATTATACAGGACATCGGTGATGGAGAAATAGTATTCGATATATCAGATGACGTTGAAGGATGGGAGAGAATTGAAGGCTGGGATAAGGTTCCAGTCGCCATCACTTTGAATAAGGTTAAGATCACTAGTTAAACTTTCTTTTTTTTTAAAAAAAAATTATGTATTGATTTTCTCGTGTTTAGATCGGATCGCGTCATATCGTTGATGCCACTCCACTAGAAGAACTTACGACAGAAGCTAAACTGCTTGTAACAGTGAACAAAAATGGTAAAGTTTGTGGACTTCAGAAAAGTGGAGGCGGAAGCATAGATCCAAGTCTACTAAATGAAATGGTGCAGGTATCTATTAGTTCCTTTATGCATTTCATTTCTTTTGCTTCTGATTCAATGGGCGTCTTCACATGTGCTAGTTAGGTTTAGATTAAGGAATCCTAAACTGGCGCACTTGATCTCTTGATAGGAAGAAATAAACATTGCCAACTCTATAAACTCTTAATTTCTAGACAGGACGATCGTTAGGTCAAAGTTTGATAAAAAGTTTGGATGAAATGGTCCGACGGGAAGAAAATGATATTAATTTGAAGCAATCGCGAAGAGAACGTGTAGAGAAACTTGGATTTTTCGCTGCGACATAGAAATAGTCACATGACCGTGGGCGCAAGAATTTACTCGCACAACCGAAACTTTTAAATAATTGTACTAATGCGAAAATGTTACTAACAGACGATATGCATATTCCTAATAGCTGCGGATTTTCTCATGACATTACATTGATAACGGGGTCATCCGAGTCATGAGAGTCATCAGATGCATAAAATAATTATTCTTTATTCTTCCCATAACTAAATAAAATAAATCTTCTTGAAAATATAAAATTAAAAAAAAAAACATGAAAAATACAGAATATCTTCATTCTCCAAAAACAAATACTTACCGTCGACGTTCTAAAAGTTTATCTGACAAGGCAGATAACGGTAAAAATGGTTCACTTTATAGTAAACGTCATCATTCTCCTCCTCCAATGCGTGCACACCACCAACCAGTTATGAAATTCAACGCTGATATGTGGATGCAGGTTTTTAATTTTTATTATTCCTAAAGTACAGGTTTCATATTTAAATTTTAGTGCATTGCTACAAGTTTATTTTATCAGGACTTTAAACAAAATGTTATGGAAAAATTGTTTAAAGAAGAAAGGTTTAAGGCTTTTCAAAAAAAACGAAGAGGATTGGAAAATGTTATGGATGTTAGCGACGATGAAGATTGGCAGGAACAACAAAAGGTAATAAATTACTTACCATTTGAAAAAATATATATCGATATATATTGGTTTTTTTTTATTTTTTATTTTTATTTTATTCCTTTTTTTATAAAACGTTAGTTTTTGCTATTATTTTTACGTAGATCACTCCGGTGATCGCATCTTCTCAATATGTAGTTAAATTTTTCTTCTGATTCGCTGAGACGCAGTTGATCATTGAAAAATTATGACTGATATTCGGCCCTTCTTTTTTTTTTTTTAATAAGTTAATCCAATCAGTCGTACAAAATGAATGGGAAAATTATCAATCCTCTCCATTTTCTCAATACCAACTTTGGTTACAAGAACAGCAATTACTCTATGCTGCGCAACAATATCAACAAAGTTTATATGATGCTCAACAGGTACAGCAACAACAACAGCAACAACAACTAGAACAACAACAATTTATTAATAATCTTCCTGCGGAAATTGCCCAAGCTGTTATAGCAAAGAATTTGCCCCCAGAATGGTTTCAGTATCGAGAAAGCACGAACAATGAATGAAAATTCTTTGTTTATTCTTAATAAGGAGACCAAAAAAAAAAACTCTCCAATCGATTTTTATTTTACATTTTCTATATATATATATATTTTTTTCTTGAAAGTTTTCTTGTATTTAAGCCACGAAATACAAGTTGTACATATTATTAACTTGTGGCAAGAAATTTTGTGTTGGTCATATTATAATTTCAATTGTATTCTATTAAATAAATTCGATATAGTAATTGGAATAATAAATAACTTGAATGGTTTCTTAATCCTTCTTTTAATAGCATTTGAAATTGCTAATTTCGATTTAGATAAAATCACCGTATTTTCTTATCACGGGTCGAAGAAATACAGTGATTTTATAGCGACATCAAAGCAAAAAAGTTGTTTAATTCTTTCACAATAAATCGAAGCTCATCTCAAACATATTTGGAATTGAAAATCTTACCAAAATCATTTTTAATTTCAATAAGAGAGGATAGTAAAGTAAACTTTTCAATTAAATATCTTCCTATTCTTAATCTATTATCTTTTTTAAAGTAATTATTTATATTAAAAATACATTACTTTGATATTTATTAATAAGGTTATTAAGTAAAATCTAAATATTTAGCAAATTATTTAAATAGTAAAAAGTTATAATTTTATTAAAAAATTAATGAAATTAAAGATTTAAATATTTTGCTAAGTTCAAATTAAGTTAAAACAAACTAGGAATATTAAGCAGTCTTTAATTGGTCTTTATAATTTAAAAGATTACTATTTCAAAAGAAGTCTAATCACTTATCTATAATAAGTAATTCCTATTAAATAAATATCATAAATATTTTATAATTAATTTGTAAAAGCAAAAATGAAATTCAAAAATTAAATAGAATTGCTAAATATAGAACTGATTCTAAAAATCCAGTTCTAAATTCTAAAATTTTAAATCTTAAAAAATCTGAATTTCTAAGAAAATTTATTATTTATTTTTATTAAGTAACTTATTAAAACAGTATAATAGACAAGTTTAATAATAATTTTATAAAAATGATTTTTTATAATTTTTTTTGAAATTTTTAAAACCACTTAGAATCACTTAATATTTTTAAACTAATAATCATATTTATTAATTATATTTTTAGTTATTTTCTATTTATATAAAATTATTATTTAAAAGTAAAAAAATATTAAAAAATTAATATATTTATCAAAACTTAATATCAGTTATTATTTTAAAATTTAATATAAATAAATATTATTCCTTTAATTGTAAATTTTTTGCTATTTTATTTGTTAATTAAAGTCAATTTTAATTATATTAAAAATTATTTATTAAAAAATTAATATTTTATCTCTTAAAACATAGGTATAAATTGGTTATAAAATATGGTAGAAAAATTATAATATTTTAATATCTAGTAATTATAAAAAGATGAAGTAAAGTTTATTAATTTGTCATATAAGATGTATTTAATGATGGAATTTTTAAATTTTTAAAATTAATAATTATTAATATATATTAATTTTCAATTTTCAATTTTTTAAAATAAATTATTATTTAATAATTCTAAGAAAATATTTATCTTTCCGCTGATCTTTTTGACCAAATGTCTCTAACAACTAGAAGACAAAGTATGTACAGAAAAAAACCTGAACCTTACAATAAAAATACTTCAAACTCTTTAGGGCAGTGACATATATTACCTAATATCATTTAATTATAAGCATCTACCCCCCACCCTCAGGTAAGATATTCTGATCACGTGCATAAAAATTATTTCCTTTTATAGAATTTATATATCAGTAGTAGTAAAATATATCGAAAAATAAAATTATAATAAATTAAAATTTTATTGTTAAATGGATTAAAAAAAATATTTAAA